AAGATGTCCCCATGTATAAGACACCCCCACTTTTCTAACCCAAAATTAAGAAATCGAAAATGCGGCAGCCAGGCTTCTTAGTGGAGTGAGAAAAATATCAGCATATCTCCCCCACTCTGGCTGCTCTGCACTGGTTGCCCATCCATTTCCACATTGATTTCAAAGTGCTAATGATGACGTACAAAGCCCTAAACAGTTTGGGACCTCAATACTTGGCAGATCGTCTTCTCCCACCTAGATCTACGTGAATCACTCGACATAGCCAGCAGGGACAGCTGAGGGGCCTAACGCCGAGAGAGGCCCAGAAAGAAAGAACAAGAAACCAGGCCTTCTTAGCAGTGCCCCCTCGGCGATGGAATAGGCTCCCAACTGAAATCCGTCTGGCACCATCGCTGGGTGTTTTCAAAAGCCATTTAAAAATCTGGCTCTTTAGGCAGGCCTTCCCTCCAGTCAATTAACTGATTTTTATTTTCTGTTTCCTTAACTACTCCATCTTGGCAATGTTTTTAGAAATAAGTGTTAAGTTTTGAGTTTTCAAAGGATTTTATTATGTTTGTTATACTGTTGTGTTTTTATTGTGTATGTAAGCCGCTTGTGGGGGGGCGGGGTAAAAGTCTAATAACTTATACTGTTGTGTTTTTATTGTGTACGTAAGCTGCTCCGAGTAGACTTTGTGGGGGGGCGGGGTAAAAGTCTAATAAAAGAAAGAAGAAAGAAGTGGGGCTTAGCAAGTGTAGGGGGAAAGGGATCAAAGCACTGCAAGACCACTTTGATCCCTGCTTTCCCCTCCACTTGTTTTTGTACTTTCCTCAGCTTACTTCCGTGTATAAGACAACCCTCAATTTTTAGTCTAAAGATTTTAGACAAAAGTATAGTCTTATACATGGAAAAATACAGTATATTAGTCGCATAATGAACCTTATAAGGTGGCGTGTGAAGAGATGTTCCCAGACTATGGCCCTTCTTCAAATGTTCTAGGGCCCCCCATTGAGAATAACTAGTTTTAGCAAAAAAGGTATTCTTTGCCCTTGAAGACCAGAATACATATATAGTGGTGCCTCGCTTAACAAGTGCCTCACTGAGCGATGAAATCGCTTAACGAGGCGCTCTGGGCCATCGCTGGAGCATTCACTCAGCGATGGCCCCTATGGCGATTTTTCGCTTTGTGATATTCGCTAAGCGATTCACTTAGTGAATATCGCATAACGAAGCGGGGGAGAGCAAGTCGCATAATGAACCTTATAACGTGGCGTGTGAAGAGATGTTCCCAGACTATGGCCCCTCTTCAAATGTTCTAGGGCCCCCCATTGAGAATAATTAGTTTTAGCAAAAAAGGTATTCTTTGCCCTTGAAGAGCAGAATACATATACATAGCAAGCACCAAAAGATCAACCGATTGGGGTTTTTTTGGTGGGTTTTTTAGATGCAAACAAAGCACCAAAAGATCAACTGATTGGGGTTTTTTGGTGGGTTTTTTAGATGCAAACAACTCTTCTGATGCATCTAATCCTTAAAACTGAATGAAACATAACAGCAACCCTTGTTATTTTTCACTATTTCCATTATTTGAATTAAAACGCTAGTTTATGTGACATTTCAAAAAAATTTCTCCCTGTTAAGGGGTGTATGGAGGAGGGAAGTTTTATTCCTCCCCGTGATAATATGTGTTATTTGCTGTAGTATTTTTTAATGTTTTGTATATATAATTTTGCTCCATTTTCTCTTCAATTATTGCTCTTTTGCATGGTATGTTGTTTATCTTCTTTCAATTTTCTTGGAAAAAAGCCTGATCTGCCATAGTGCAATAGTTTAAAACTATTTACATTATAACTTTAATTCTCCCTATAAATTGGTTTTTTAGCCTCTCACTCTCAGAGAGAGAGAGAGAGAGAGTTTTTTAGATCTCTCAGAGAGAGAGAGAGAGAGAGAGAGAGAGAGAGAGAGAAATCTGTCTTCTTGTAGCAAGATTCCTCTGAGCAATATTTTTCTCCAATAAATCCCATGGTGTGTTTTTTTTTAATTTTGTAATCATTTCTTTCTGAAAAAGTGCCAAAATATGCAGGAATTATACAACTCCTGCATGCCATGCTATCTATCCTATGCAGGATTCACCTAAAAAGCTCAGAAGAAACACCATAACATGCAGGATTGTTATAATTCCTACACAGAATCCAAAGAAAAGGGCATTAAATTGTGCAGAATCTGGCAATTTCCTGTGCAGAAAAATAAACTCAAATAAGGAAAAATAAAGGGAAAATCAGATCCCCATCTTGTTCTTGTGGGAGGCCAGGAAAGGGCATGCTCTTCTATATTGATACAGAGCCCTCATCCCTGCATGCATACATTCCCATTTCTCAATGCTGACAAAAAAAAGTAACTCATTATTTTAAAAAATCTCAAGGCAGAGTCATGAGCCAGTGCTCTATCATTTAGTGACATAAAAATCACGTAGAGATAAATTAACTGCTAAAACTACATCTGTTCCTTAAGAGGAATAAAGTTATCCCAAATTAAGATCCTTCCAGCTGGATCTTAACTAGCAATAGTTATTTACTGGCCAAACAAACACAAAAAAACCCCAATTTGTTGGTCTTTTAGTGCTTGCTATGTATATGTATTTTGCTTTTCAAGTGGAAAGAATACTAATCTTTTGCTTAGACCAGCCATTCTCTGGGGGGAGGACATATGACTCCCTGGGGGGCCCTGGTACATTTTGCACTTGAATAAGAGAAATGGTGGAAGTCATGGGAGTAAATTGCCACTAATTAATCCTGTGTGCATTCCAAGGTATGCACCCAATGTCATCTATTTATCCCATTCCACTTTCAGAAGCACAAGTTACCTTTTGAACCCTGGCTGATTATTTAGGTCCCTCCACCTCCTTGGGGGCAAGGAACTAATAACAAACAACTTATTATCTGTGGCCTGTTACTTGCAAACTCTGTGCATCTTGGAATCATTGTTGAACATTACTTACTGTTGTCTCAGTTGTCCATCAATTTTCAAATCCTGTGGTTGCTTGGACGTCTAGTGCTAATCTCTTCCAGCTTGTTTCAGGATCCAGCCAGAATTCTTTGGGACCACCTGAACAGCAGCGGTTCTGCAATATTTTGCGTTGAATATAAAAAGATCACAGATAATTAGAGCATCTTTATTCCCAAGAAATCTGCATAACTTCTCTTTGTGCATTCTGTGGTATTTCATAAACATGTGGATTCCCTGCAGCATAAGCAAATCATGCCAATAGATGTAATTTGAAATAATCATGTGGCAGCAGCCCCTACGCCCATCATTAGCCCCCATTTCTCACTACAAAACTAAGATTGTACCAACTGTCCTAGTAGATTATGGGTTCATTTTTTTAAAATTTCGTGAACATGATGAATAATTGCATGAATTAAATAGATGATGTACAAGCAATTTATGGTGGGAAATAAAGATTATTGGAGTAAATGATTCAATTTTGTCGTATTCAATATCTATAAAAACATGCATAAATATGAAAAATGCTTGGTATTATTACATGTGTACACACTTCATAATGAATTGCATCATAATTGCACTATAATTGCTCCAAGACTGTAATATTTATACATTTTCCATAATAAATTGATCCTCAGAGATAAGCATGTTTTACATAATTTCCATCTCAGCTCACTCAATGGGATGGCAAAATGGCATACGAAATGAGACGATGGGAAAATGGGACTTTGGAAAGTGCTTGTTGAATGTAAGTGACACAGATCTATAGACTTGCTGTTGAGTCAGCATAATGGAGGTTTTACTGGAGTACAGAATGTTCCTTGTGTTCCTTTTCTCCCCATGCCCATGGAACAGAGTTTAAGTCTAATGCTAGCCTTTGAACTAAACACTTGTGACCCACACACACAGTACATACATATATCAACCCAGTGTTCTCCAGATGTATCAAAATGCAATGTCTATCCTCCGAAAACATGACAGACATATGTGGAAATTAAAATTTCCCGCCCTTTCTCCCTGCCTTTTTGCCTTCGCAGGTCTCAAACGGCTTCCTCCAATGTTGGGGGGAAAGCCCTTTGAGACCTCCGAAGGTGCTGATAGCGGTGGCGGGGACCCCCAGGGAGGTCTCCCAGGGCTTGCCCGCCACCAATAATGGTTAATATGTCAGAAAATTCTCAAGTTTATTACCCGATGAGGACTTGATTGTCATGACCAAAATCCCCCTTTTTATACATTGTTTTATAACATGCTTTCCTCACATTTCTTTTGTGGCTAAAATGACATTTTAGGAACCTGGAATTAGAACAGGCACATTAGAACAAGCTTTTAGAAGCTCTCAGGCTGCTCCAGAAGGTCACAGAGTGACTCTCAATGGGCCTCAACTGTGGTATTGGAGAAGTTTCATTTGCCATGGAAGTACCTGGAAGTACCATTTATACATCTTGCATTCTTTCAGATTCATTTGTGCAGAATGGTAAGAAAAGATGTGTAAGATGTTGGGAAGGGTGATGGAGCTGAAGGGGAAGCAAGCACTAGAATTAGAAACATGACCATTTCCTGGAAAAGTTGTTAAGACACTGCTTGCAGTAAGAATTAAAAGTGTGGAAACTTGTTCAGAGTGGGTAGCTGGAAGAAAAGAGCAGGATGTAAGATGTAGTAAACCCATGTAAGGTTTTTGGGTGCAAAATATGGGAATCTAATTTAGGTGCAGAAGATAACCAAGCCAGAAAAGAGCTGCAAGGAGGCATTTTTGATCAAGTGCAAGTGGAGCTGGTTTGCTGACAGTGTTTTAGATATACAGTACATACATTTCATTGATTCAGCCCCCAAACTTTTTTTTACACTTGCATATAAAACAGAAACCAGAATCGTACTGTATTTGGACACCTGTGGAAATATGGAAAATGCCATGGCTGTGGCTAATGAAGAGGATGCCAGGTATATACCAGGCATATGACCAAGCATGCAACCAGGGAGCTGTCAACCAGCAGTAACAGCTTCCACATTTCCTCTTCCACATGCATGAAAACCTAATAGATTGCTGGCTAGCATCTGCAAAACTGATGATAGCTGATGATATATACTGAATGTCATAGTGATGTGTGTAGCTTCAGCACCACAGAAATTTCTCACCAAGCTGACAGACCAGAATCATCTTAACAGTGTGTGGAGTAAATTCAATCTCAAGTGGGAAGCCTGGTCTTCATCTTTGACTTTGTCTCTTTGTTTTTCTAAGTGAGACAATAGCAATTTTCCTGTTTTTCTGTCCCTTCCAATTTTTTTTCCTCCCGCTTTTGACACAAGGCAATTTTTTTCCACACCAGTGTGTGTAAAATATGATGGCGTTGCAAAACAAAAGACTTGATCTCTAGTTTAAATGAGAATATAAGGCATGTAATAGGCCAAGTCCATTTGCCTGATGAATGTGGATTGGTTCCCCCATGATATGAATTTGAGCCCAAAAGAGGGCCCCCAAAACTGAACTGCAAAATATACACAAGAAATTGTGATGAAGAGAACCAATTACTTATATTTAATATTCATATGCATGCTCTCAAATACTGTAGGGCCACAAAAGAGGAATTTTCAAGGTAGAGGCCAAAATTCTATTTTTGTTTTAATAAGGTTTGGGTAACCTGCCATTGGTAATTAAGGAGGTGCCAGAAAGGGTTTTGGGCTGCTTAACTGGCTTTGTGACCAGGCAAATGACCAAGAGGCATACAGGCATTTGCTATGGCAAGTTCCACAAACCCTATGTGCATGAGCTATGGCAAGTTACAACAAGACCAGTGTGCTTCTGGCCACCTGATGCATGTGCAACTATTTTGAGTACAGTATCAATATGCGAACCACAGCTTTTTAAAATGAATAATGTCATTGTCAAATGCATTACTATAGGATTAAATATATCAAATCTAGGTAGCAGATGTATTGATTGATTTTTTTTCAGTGATATTTACAATAGGTATATCAAAAATGTTGTGCTGATGGAAGAATTTAGAAATAGAGGCACATTATATACATTTGAGTTCCACAAGCTAAGATGCATGGATTTGACAAGAAACTGTTGAAAAATATTTTTTCGGAAGCAACCCGTATTAGTCTGTTTCAGCAATACAGTAGGACTGTGGTACCACAGCAGATCAATTCCAAGATCTGCCCACCCGTTGTATGCCAGAAATAGCAGATAAGTGAAGCACTTACTTCCAGTTTCTTTCATGTCTGCACTTAGTTGAGAGAGGGAGCCCTAGCCTAGTCTTGCCAAAAGACTGAGTTTCCTGCCCTCCTGTTTGCAAAACAGGCTTCCCTGAAACTAGAAACTGCTGCCTCTCCCTGCCCCCTTCCAATATGGCTTCTCCATTTCACTGGAAGCTGCTTCCCTCAGACATGTCAGGCCACACGTTCATTCCCCTTAAGCTGTATATAGCATAGTCTCTGTTTCCAGCTAGTGGTCTGTCCTGGTGATACAACTTTGAAACCTATTTCTGGCAGGGTTTTTTTAATGTTATTTTTTTTCAGGCAGCAGATAAATGAAATTGCAGGTACTGATTCCACAGATATAGTGGTCCTACGATACCAATAATAAAAATAAAATAATAACTAAAGTACTTTGGCAACTTTACCACTTATATTTAAAAAAACAAAACAGCTAGAATCCACTTCATGAGCAGGTAATCCACTTCATGTGTATTAAGAAGTGGATTCTATCATGTGTATTAAGAAGTGGATTCAATGAAATAAATTTGTTGGTCTTACAGGCACAAAAATATTTTTGTTTTTAATAGTGCCATCGGCATGTAGCCTGCCAAATAAGAACAAAACCTAGTAGGCAGTATACTTTCAGCATAAGTAAATACAAACATTTCATGCAAAACTGCAAATAGAACTAAAACTGGCTGAAATCCTGCTGTGCAATTACACAAAAAGTGCAACTTTTATATGCTATTTATTATATGTTAAGAAATCCCTGTAGACATTACCTTTTGCCCCCAGAGTCTCATGACTCCATACGCAAAAGATAAGGATGGAGATTTCTTAACTTGTAACAATTTGCACCTCAAAGTGATAGCGTTGGCATAATAGGTTTCAATGCAGTGTGGATGAATCTAGTCCACACAACCAGTCCCAACAGCTTTACATTAAGAGTTCTTATGTCTCTTCTGTCCTCTCTTCCCCATATGCTACTGTAGTTGACCAACTGGTAATCTCAAAGCAATGTCTGGATACAGAGAATCCCAGCCTAAAAAAGCAACCAACACCTCCCCGATTTTGGCGATCAGATACTATGACTGTTTTTGTCAACTATCTTGTTTCTCAGATATTGCATAGGAAGAGCACACTTCATAAATCGCCTCCTCTTTAGACCTATTCTGACATTATATTTTTGGAAGTTTGTAAAGACACTGAGGTGGGTGCTCTAGTGTCACTCCCTCCACAGGGAGTATCTACAAAAGCCCTGTAACCACTGATAGGGAGCTGCTTGATGCAGAGCGAGTCTACTGGCCCATCTAACCCAGTATTATCAACTTTCAGTCAGGGTCTATTCCTAGCCCTACCTCAAGAACTCTAGTATTAGCTGGTGATCTTCCATTCAAGAATTTATCAGGCTTAACCCTACTTACTTTCCAAAATTTGATGAGATTGGGTGTGTTCAGGATTGTACAGACATGCAACCCACAATTCAAGGAACTCTATTACAGATCTTCACAGGACTGGGACCCTCTTGTGTTGTTGACATCCTCAATATCTAGGGGGACTGCAACCATGTTCTACCCAATGCAATTACAGCTATTTTGCAATCCATTCATGTCAAGGAGAGGAGGCTGACCGTGGAAGTCTATAATGCGAAGTGTACTTCTTAGCTCCTTCTCCATGCCCAGAATGCTTGAATTGGGTGTCATTGTATTTTGTATCACAATGGAATCACCACAAAATGTGTCAGAGCCTTGCTAAAACTATACAGATTTGAACAAATGTTTTATCCAACGTCCTTCTTAAAGATACACAAAATGTTTCTGTGTTAGAATACAGTAGTTATAAACTGATAAAATGGAGGCTTGCTGACATACTGGCACTCCATTAATTACAACTGTACTACTGCTAGTGGTATATCTGTAA